ACCAACTCATTACACCATAAATACCTAGTAAATACAGTATTAAATCAACGCACGAAATAATCTAAAACTTAAAACTACAAGGACCTAATAATAAAACCATAGCCTCACTTCATGTTGAAAGTTTATTTTTTCTCCATCATTCCTTCCATTAAAAATTAAAACTAACATTTTACGAAAACTATTCTTGACTCGTACAAATGAGGTTCCCTTCTATGACCATCAAAATAATATCTACGTACAACGTGATGCCATTTCCATGGGTTCAGTTTTGGGACCAGCATTTACTAACTTCTACATAGCTAACATTGAAAATAAGATATTTAATACCGCCAACAAAACCCTCCATATATCTAAGATATATAAATGATATTTTTCTCTTAGTTAGAAAACAGAGATGAAATACATGAACTACAAAAAGTTAGTTCTTAAATTCACATATGTACTTAAAAAAATAATAAAATTCCTTTTCTTGATGTATTGATGGATGCAAATAATAATACATCTATTACCACTCCATCTAAAAAACTAACTAGCATAAACACGTTCACTTTCAACTATAAAGTGATAATCTAACTCTTACAAAACTACATTCTACAAAATTTAATAAAACGTTCAAAATTAACTCTTACACGAAAAAAAACTACACTGAATGAAGAAAAAAAAACACCAACATTATGATTTTCCTAATTACATTCTTGATAAACGAGTTAGACGAGCTATTAGAAATATTAACATTAATCAAAAAGTACGTAATACTTCCTCAAATAACCCTAAATATAACAATCTAATATAACGCAATCAAATACACTAACTACAAACAAAATGAAAAGATCCTTAAAAAAAACGTAGAAGTACTAATATATCTCCCACAGATCCCAGTAAAAAAAAACGAAACAAATAAAATAAATCTTGTACTATACTAAATTTAATACAACCAACTTAATCATGCGCGACAACCCCTCTCCGTTGACTAATGTTTTGCAAAATATCAATATTGATTATCAATTTAAATGTTTTTGAGAGATTGTATTGCTGACAAAAAACAAACAAAAAAAAACAAAAAACAAATATATATATTGGTTTCACGGCAACAATATTATCGAGGAGACTTACATTACACATTGCAGATTCAAGTTGCATAGCCCAACATTTAAAGGCACATACTCTCCACATTCACGATTTAGAGAAATATTAATTAACAATACAAGTATGCACCACCATAATAAAAAAAAAACTTCTTGAAGCCCGCTATATTAGAAACTTACAACCGACACTATATAAGAATAATTAGGAGTATAGCAACAATGTTGTAAAATGTCTATAACAGCAAGGTTTTAAAATACTTCAATTGTAATACTTTAAAAAAATATATAAATTAAGTTACATTCCTTGATAACGTTAAGTTTTGAATCAACAGAGTGCATTTCATGTGCATTTACAAGAAAAAATTCATAACTATCTATTACATTATTTTTTGTCATAGCAATTCATCCCTGATGATTTTGGATGAGATGGAAAGTACTGGGGAAAATAAAAAAAAAATGAGAAAAACTACGGTGCCTTACTTAATGAGTTTAATGGAAATTGATCTGTGAAATTGAAAGGATTGATATGATATATATATGTTATTGCGGACTCATAGTCTTTAGATTTTTACATACAATAAATAAGCTTTAGGTAAATGTCTTTAAAAACGAAAATATGTTTGATATACGCCATTTAACAACAACAAAACTAATAAAATATGATTGACATAACCGGTGTCACTTTTAAGAAATGTTTTTTGAAAATATGTGTGTGTGTGTGTGTGTGTGTGTGTGTATTTTGTTTTGTGTAATGCTTTTCATAAAATGCACACATACTACACTGATCCTCGACAGAAGGCCAAAACAGAAATGTCATCCATATCTAATAAATAACGTCGTTTTTGACGGGTTCTATACTCGTAATCAATCTAACAAAATTTTATCATTATATCATCAAATATCAACATTATTTCACTCCTGCATTAAAATCAAAACAAAAAAAATACGAGTACTAGCAAAATTTGAGAAAGGCATGAAACCAATCCTGTCAATGCTTTCTCCCGTCATCAGTCTTGAGTCTGAGATATAATTAAGAAAGAAAACAGTACATGATTAGTGAATCGGGAATGTCTTATATAATTACTTAAAGATCATAGGTAACAAATTGGCTACTATATTCATTGTTCGTCATGAAAGAAAGATTTATCTGTATTTCAAATAAATAAATGGTTTATGTTTATCAAAAATCTTAATAGAAACGTTTATTCCCAATAAAGAAAGAACATTGCTAACAGACAGACCACTCGGATGATTTTCTTGATATAACCAGAAAAGTCAATTTCTTGACAAATTCAATATTAGCTGAAATTTCCATCAAACGTCTTCGATTATTATTGATGTTGATTTTATTCCTATGACCAATTATAGATTCGATGACTATCTTGTCGACTTATTGGATATTTTCAGTTTTCAAGTTCCTTATCAAGAACATGACCCTTTTTTAAAAAGACATTTACCGAAATCTCAATGTGGTAATTATTCATGATAACGCTAGTGTAATTTGTTTGGAAACGATTATCAGTAATACTATTAGTTTGTTGCCAGAAATCAAAGAAAGTGCGCGAGAACATTCGATTACCGACAAGGCTTTTAATATCAGACAGAAAGGAATCAGTTGTGTTAGGTGGGCTTGGTTGATTTACGACAGATCAGCCTCCGGTTCCTCAGTTATTTAAGGTTGAAATCTGTCCTTTGAAAAATTAGATTTAAATCTATAAGTATTTACTTGGTTCGGGGATAACTTAATATTGGTCATTCCTATCTATAAGCATTTGCTTTATAAAAGGGGGAGATAAATATTGATCTTTTGTTTATGGGTCGAAAAGTCTTCTTTTAAAAATATTTGAGTCAATAAAGAAATTATTTGGTTCGGAGAGAGGTATCCGAACAAAATATGTAAGATAGAATATACGAAATATATGACACTTATATTTCAGTATATAAGCATTTAGTTTGTCTATATTTCTGAGATGAGGTATTATGTAGACTATTGACATAATTCGGACTATTGACCTCATCTTTGCTGCCATATTTATTACAACATTCCGGCCGTTGTACGTTCCGGCCTTCTTCAGGTCGTTGGAATACCGAACTGAACCCTTACTAAGCAACGCCTTTATCCTTGAGGATACATGGCACAGTAGATAAAGGCGTTAGTTAGATCCAAAAAGAGGACCCAAATAGTTCAATAACTGGTTAAGGCGGTGGAGAACTTGGAGAATTAGACATGCCACGTGGAACAAAAACAGTCTACCCAGTGTGAGAAATAAAGGGTTAAGTTCGACATTCCAACCACCTGAAGAAGGCCGGAGCGTACAACGGCCGAAATGTTGTTATAAATATGGCGACTAAGCTGAGGACAATAGTCTGAATAATGTAAAAAGCATTTAGTTGTTTCGGGGATTGGTAAATCTTGTTAATTAATATTTGGGTCTATAAGCATTTACTTGATTCGGGATTAAGCAGGTACTGGTCATATATAGGGTACGATAGGTAAATTGCACCTTTTTATATTTTTGATTTCACGCATGCGCGTTGTTTTTGATTTTGTCAACTGCACAGTCTAGTAAGATCATTTGGGAACCGCCTGTAAGTAAAAGAGCACCATGATGCAATACACTCGGCCAGATATTTAGAAACGGCATGCTTTAATGCTTGGCATTCGCGCCTGAAGCTCCAATACGAATATTTCAGAGTGAACTTACAGTATCCTCAAAAGATGTACCGATTGTGATGAAAACTAAATATCCATTTAACATCATGGTGTTTAGAGTGATCACTAGTAATGGTGACATATTGCCTCTATTCATCTTTCACATCACCTCAGATTCAACATGGAGGCGGACATCATGTGCCTTGAAGAGGTAGTACTTCCCTGGGTCAAGAGGGTGGCTGACATATGGCCACCTAACTTCTCAGACTGCAACCCCTTTATTATGTGCAGACACAGTTGAGTAAGAGACCAACAAAACTCCTTGTAACACCAAAGATGAACTGAGGGCGAGGATTATGACAGCATTAACCAATTTAAAATAAGGAGACCGTTCAGAAGAGATGCAGGAGATTCCGAAGTCTTCTGGAGGCCGTACTTGAAGCCAATGGCGATTTTATTGAATAAATTTCCTCCTTAGTATTTCAAGATTCCTTTGTGTAATTTTGGTAAATATATCTGTTAAAATGAGATGTATGTGTTATTTTTATTTTTTGCGTAATTTAGACGACAATTTATCCATCGTACCCTGTATATTTGAGATCAAAACCATTTATTCGATCGGTCGATTGTTTATATTTGCGTCTGGAAACACTTACTCGTTTGAAGAAGAGGTGAAATATTGGTCATTTATCTGTGAGTCTATAGGCTTTTATTCCATTCCCGGAGAGGTTAATATTGGACGTTTATATGAAAATCTGTATGCACTTAGTTGGTTCAGGAATAGTTAAATATTGTTAATTTATATTTGAATCTCACAAAATGACTGACATGAAATATCCGATCAGAGTATGTAAGAGAATATGCAAAATCAATTTCTTGTTTTTATTCTGACGCTAACGATTCGTTCCTCAAGAAAAGCTATGGTTAACTTGAATTTTTAAAAATTTAACAGTAAATAGAATTAAAAAATAGATATTTACAAAACTTTATTCACGATAATTCAAGATAGAAATGGTGTCGCTCTCTATTAGATCTGTGATTATTATTAACATACGCGCATAATGTTATTATTAAAATAATTATCTTTATTATTATAAAATTCCGTGAACCTTTTATGCTTGTGTGTTTGCCAGAAGTCATATATAGAAAGTGGGTGAAAGAAAGATGTAAATTTATTAGCGTGTAGTAAGTGGGGAGAGAGGGAAATGGCGTATGTTCGTCTCAGATGAAAACTTAAATTAACATCCGGATTGTGGACATAAATGATTACATCTCTCATCTTTTTCTTTCATCTCTCTCTTTCCACCTCTCTCTCTATAATTTCACCCCTCTTTCTCTTTTTACTTCTTTCCACCTCTCTCTCCCTTTCTTTTTACTTCTCTTTCCACCTCTCCCTCATTTCACCCCTTTCTTTCTTTTTCACTTTTCTTTCCACTTCTCTCATTTCACCCCTCTTTCTCTTTACTTCTCTCTTTCCACCTCTTTCCCTTTCTTCTCTTTCCACCCCTCTCTTCCTTTCTTCTCTCTTTCCACCCCTCTCTCCCTTTCTTCTCTCTTTCCACCCCTCTCTCCCTTTCTTCTCTCTTTCCACCCCTCTCTCCCTTTCTTCTCTCTTTCCACCTCTGAGATTTCGTGCGTGCTTATTTATATTTCAGTTTTCTTTAAACAAACAAAATTTTAAATATTTAAAAAAAATTTTTTCCATATTTAAAAAATATTTTCAAGTGAATATGATTTTAAAATATTTGTTGGCATATTAAAAATATATTTTTTTAAGTTAATGTGATTTTAAAAATTATTTCAAGTGAATACGAGTTGTTTATACAGTACGTATATTTTTTTTATTTCAACTTTCTTCAAACAGGTAATATTTTGATGTTGAAATCAACTTCAATATTTTATAACCTGAACTGTCCAGGACCCAACGGGTCACAGGTTGTCTAGTAAGAATCTAAAGAGAATAGAAAACTTTATATGAAAGAAAAAGAAGACTGAAATGAAGTCGAAGAAAAAGGAGAAATAATTAAGAAAATTGAAAGAGAGACGAAGAATAAAAAAAGTAATATGTAAAAAAGAAGCACCGAGACAATCGTATTTCGAAGTTATCACAACGATTCAATTTAAATACGAAATGGTATCTAGGAAAGTATCTCGGCTAAGCTTAAAAAGAAATAAATTATAAGCCCAGTAAATAAGATATTTCATATATTATTTAAATTTGGCCTCTTGCACTACGAAGCAGAACCCTTGGGGATGATGGCAGCAATCGTCTTGTATCTACCAATTCTCAAAAGCAATAGAGAAATCCTCTTTCTGAAAACGGTCCAATACTGTCTGTCTGCGATTCAGTCTGAATTTGATCTACGGGTTTGAAGCAGCGTCCCTTCAAGCTTCCGTTTCAAATTCATGAAAGAAAACAAAATAATTAAGTAAAACGCCGAAATCACAGGTGCTTATATTTTCTTCTCATTTACAAACATTTTACTGGTCGCCTTGAAAGCTCATCAAATTCAAACTACACTCGACTGGCCTTGAAAAGAGCGTGCCTCGCAAAAACTCCTCAGCTTCAAAATAGTCCACCAAAAGGTTGACAGCCTATTTCGAGGATTTAGATAGCAGATTTACATAGCTTCATACTAAAATTGATATAAGCACGGTGCTCGATTTGTTAGTCATCGTAAAAATCACAAAGTCATTCCCAACATTGCTTTGCAAAACCTCGGGTAAGAGTTGAACATAGCACACAACTTTATGGACTGAATGAGAAGGCTGAATGAAAATTAGTTACGCTCACAATTTCTTTAAATTGGTACGATCATAACAGCCCAAGAACTTTCCGATCTCAGCTTGTAAGTGCTTGTTATTGTTAAAAACAGAGTCAAGAAAAAAAACTATTTCTGATCACTGGAATACGACAAGCGGAGAGACAAAATATTAAATATATAGACCTAAGGGTATCAGGTATAGATTGTCGACGAATTCATCAAGTTCTCGAATATTAGATGAGGCCAAAAGTGGTTATGAGACAGAATTTAAATGAGATCCATATAACGGCTAGATAAAATTCAGGGACCTCCAACAAATAGAGAAAAATATACAGAAAAAGGAACATTATCTCCCTTACGCTACACTTTAACGTAGCAATAAGGAACAAGGATTGGCGCAAAATTCCTCGAATTATTAATAAACATTTTTAACATAAATATAATGAAAATAAGCTTCAACTCTATGCCACTATTAGTAGATTAACGAAAAGGCATATCAACAAAGACTTCATCGAAAAATTTAATAAAGGAAATTAAGATGAAATTGCATAAACTCTAATGCTTATTGCCATTATATATATATATATATATATATATATTCTGTTTATACGTTATTTTTATAGATACAAGTATTTTAGTAAATGCTCTGTTTATAATAAACCGTATTAACAGCATTTACCGGCCTGAATATGCGACAAATTTTAAGGAAATTATGCGTTCAATGAGAGGAATCGAACCTGAATGCATCCTACACAGAACCGTCATATAACCTGACGTGCTATAACATTTGCTACAGAGGAAGCGCCTGGTTTGCAAGGTCAAATTACTGTTTTTAAACTACGCATTTCACAAGATTTCTCTCGAACGTTCATATCTGCTCGAAGCGTATCTTTACGTAAACAAATGACATCATATATTTTGAAATGGACTAAGAAATATTGTATAAACTGAATATATATATATATATATATGTGTGTGTGTGTGTGTGTGTGTGTGTGTAAATATATATCAACTAAAATAATCCTAAGGAGCCACGCAAGCCTACCTAGGTTTCACCTAATCGGATCTTCAGGGTAAAGTCGGCTTTACCTTGAAGATCCGTTTCGGTGAAAACTAGGTAGATTTGCCTGGCTCCTTAGGATTATTTTAGTTTATCGCGCTACATAGTGCATTGAGCACTTTACATTGTTGTCTTTTTTACTCGTTTTGGTTTTTTTCTCTCTTTGGACTTGGAGCTTAAACACTGGATAATTTTTTCACCTTATTTTAATGGTCTTGGTTCTTTTCATTTTTTATTTCCATTTTTCCTCGCGTACCGATTTGTTCTACTGCAATTTGAGCTGTCCGAGGTTTTTTTCAAAAGGAGTACTACCATATATATATATATATATATATATATATATATATATATATATATATATATATATATATACCGTTTATTTCATTAAATATTATATTTAATTGCTTCGTCTACCTGCCAAAATATTCGAGAAATCTTATTAATAAAAAATACGCGATCTCTGGCAGGATTCGAACCTGCATCTCTGTGTATAGGGAAATGGTTTATAGAGATCGCATAATTTATTTAAAAGATTTCTTGAATATTCGGGCCGGTAGACGAAAACAGATATACTTTTTAATAGATAAATGTAGCTTCTACTCAAATACATCTATTCATTAAAAATAACGTTTAAAGTGGTAACAATCTGTCGGATTAATATATAAAAAAATTCGTTACATCTTTAAGTATATATATATATATATATATATATATATATATATATATATATATATATATATATAGGTAGTAAGTATTCATCCAAATAAGTTTAATTATATGAACCGACAAAGTCTGTTTTTTTTTGTTTTTTTTTAAAATTTTCGAATAAGGTGTTGTGTGCTAGACGTTGTGGATAAACTGTTTGATATTCATATTGTGTTATTGTTTTTTTTTCAAGTACTTACGACTATCGCAGTCATTTTGAAGGATCAATGTGACTTCTGTGTAGTAAGCAGAATGCCTACATCCTTGTATTCTATGGTCGAAAGTATGAGAACAAAACAATATCAGAATATGAAATTCACACAATTTATACACAATTTCGAGCAAAATACTAATTCGAAAATTACACACACACATATATATATATATATATGTATGATGCGATGAGAACGAAAGTAATATATAAATTCCAACGTTCACAGCATTAATCCAAAAGTGGACTCGATACCGATAGTAGAGCGATATTTATTTATTTATTATAATTTTATGATATAGACAAAACCATTTTACACACACACACACACATATATATATATATATATATATGTAAGAGAGAAAAACAAACAGAGAGACAGGGAAAATATGCCAACTGATACACTAGTTTTAGATTTTAAAAAATACATTTTTTTCCGATGCAGTATGAATGAAAACATTTTTTTTTTAAATATCTAATTCAGAATTTGTGACGTCAGCATTTAATAGCAAATCCCGAACGGGCATAAAGAAAAACTGATTTAGCCAAGCCAACATTTCCATGTTGTAACGCCAGCGATCAACATATAAAAAGAGAAACGCTAATTAAGTGTCAGAATGTACTTATTTAAAAAGAGCCTGGTGGGAAGATGAGGTACGCCCTTCAGTTGGCCATTACAAGGAAGCCGCTTCATGTGAACGTTGGCATAATAAAAGGAACGGACCAGTAACTTTTGATGTAAATCTACTTATGCGCTGCTGATCGTCTTTATGCTTAATCGAAGATCGATTAGGAATGAAATTGGGATATCTTTGGCGGTCGCCTGCCTCTTTGCCTTTTGTCTCTTCTCCCATCCGACCTCTTCATAGTGAATAGTCACTTCCTCTTTGGCCGTTCACCAGGGGCCGATGGCAAAATGACGGTAAGTGGTCGAAGATCGTACGACGGTGGCAAGAAACAAAATAAAAGAGGAAGTATGAGCCAAGATAAAAAAAAGACAGAAAGGTAGAAGAGAAATGAAGAGAAAGAACAGGGAATATCAGATAAAGAAAAAGAAAGGAAAGAGGCAGAATAATAATAGAAAGGAAAAGAAGACCAGGAAAAAAAGAGTAGGAAGTTGGGGGGGGGGTAGATAGAAATTGGGAATAAAGAGTAAAACGAAACGAATACAAAAGAAACTGTGACAACGATATACGACGATTTTTATGGAAGGATAATGAGGAAATGAAAGGCAAGTAGATTTCAGATTACAGTCGAAACTTCAGAATAGAAAGTAAACAGATTTTACGGCTGGGAAAATGGCAACAAATCTTAGGTCGATTTTAAGTTTTCACCATGGATATGAAATAAATAAAATGTGAAAATTTAGAAAAACAAAAATTTATGAAAAAATTAAGCATTTAGGAAAACGAAGAAAGCGGTTCAAAAGTAAAAAAAACAAAAACAAAAAACAAAAAAAAACAATGACGCCAACACCGACTGGATAGAAAAAGATGGAAGTGAGAAAAAGATAATGATGGAGATGAAAGCTGAACAGAGAAAGAGTTGGAAAATCGATTACTTTGTTTCTATCTATATTTTTATCTATCTTGGTATGTTTCTATCTACCTGCTGCGGTATATTCATATATTATTCCTTTTATTATAAAATTACAAAAATGATTAGGTTTTGGTTAATGAAAATTGTTATATATATATTGACTTTATTTTACATACACATACAATTCAAAATAACAACCCTTTCCTTTCACTATAAGGTTTAATCTATTCTCAACTGAAGAAAATGTTTTCTCCACCACATTTTCGCTCAAATTGTACCATGACGTCATAAGGTTTCATTAAGGTCTGAAATACTTAAGTATGATATACGTGTAACAACGATCTCCAATATAGCCCATATCACAAAGTCTATAGGATAAAATTCAGAGTTTGATGGAAGTCAAGAAAAAAATTCACGGAAATGTTTCCTGTATTAGTTCTCCGTCAAATTAGCTGTTTCCTAATGTGGCTGGCAACCAGGGCAATACATCTCTTTCCAAAATTTGCTGGCAAACTCTGCTATTCACTTTATCTCCTCCTTCAATGGACATCCAGGGGCGATTTCAAACCATCAGAGGCAACAGCAGCCCAAACCATGATACCAGTTGGTTTCTTTCTCTTGAAATGTTTTCTGAAACCGTCGGGATTTTTTTTTTTTGTGAAATAACGTAAACGCTACAGATTTGGTAGTTAACTCAGTAGTGAAAAACTTCTCGTGTAACCAAACGAAGACATTGTCTGAAACACGATGAATCTCCTCCAACATTTTATTCACCATTGCCAATCAGTTTTTGCTTGGAGATACTTGAGACCATCTATCATAGTTGAATCATGTATGCTTCTTGCTTGCTGCTCTTAATACATTTTCCACACATTAAAAACAGTTCTTCTGCAAACATCAACTCTTATCACCTCACAATTATTCGTATCAGCCATTATCAATGTGAAAACTTGACCATATTTTGTTTGAATCGCAATATTCAATTAAACTATAAACAATGAAACAAAAGAATGTTAGAAAACGTTATGCAAAATTTGAAACTGTTTTTTACAAATAGGGAGGTTTCAGTTTATGTTTAAATAATTAGTAAAATGTTATTTAAAAATGGTTAATATTTATACCACACCCGGTACTGATACAAAGCTTTCTTTCACAGTCAGACTAAGGTTCAACATATCCATCTTTTTCTTATCTATACCATCGTTTATCTCACTATATATATAAGTGAGTTTATAACTTTTTCTGTCAATATCTGTCTATCCATCTCTAATTTTGTTCATATCCCTCTCTCCCTATTACCATATCCCTGTCTGTCTCTGTCTCTCACTCTGTTCATCTCTATGTCTCTCACTATTACTATATCCCTAACTCTATCACTATTACCATATCCCTAACTCTCTCACTGTTCAGATCTCTCTCTCTCTCTCACTATGTTCATATCCCTGAATCTCTCATTATTGCCATATGTCTCTCACTCTGTTCATCTCTCTCTCACGCTGTTCATATCCCTATCTCTCTCATTATCTCCATATTTCTGTCTCATTATATCCATATCCGTACCTCTCTCACTATGTTTATATCTCTCTACCTCTCTCCCTGTGTCTATATCTGTATCTCTTTCACTATGTTCATATCTCATTCTATTCTTATCTAAAAAACAGAAGAGAAAACCTTAAACATTTTTTTTTGTTTAATCGAAGACTTTAAATCGAGTGCTTGTTAATATTCAAACATTTATATCTCATCATCAACATCATATTGTGTTTACAGTCAGTGAATCGCGATACCCTTGAATGGTCGATTGAATTTTGAATTGATTTTCTCATTTCTAGCCCAAGTTAGTCTAGCTTATTTTTAAAATAACCTAAACAAATCCATGTAGTAAAAGTCATACTTTAATAACGCTTGTCTTTCAGAATTGCAAGATAATTTCAATTTATGCCGTAACGATCTGTTAAGGACAATACCTGATAGTAATCGGTAAAAAAACATTTTAAATCCTTCCAACAACGTCTTTTCTCATTATGCACTCTATAAACTTGGCTACAATCTCAAATGGCATAGCGATTTCAATTTTTTTTCTATTTTCAATGGAATCGCCTTCTATTCGTTGAAATCATACGTTGAAACTTCCCAGGTAGGCGGAGCAGAAAATTGGAAAGACGCTAGAGTAAAAATATTCTCAAGTTATTCACGGCGACAGATTTTGTACGCATGCGTACGACAGCCATTGACGACAGCTTCATCGTCGGCCATTTTGTTTTCAAGAAGTAAATGTGTATGTTATTGACGTCTGCTATTGGTTATCGTGACGAAGACAAAGGCCCAACAAACACATTTTGGAGACATTCGAAGGAAAAAGATGCTTCGTTATCTCGTAAGAAGAAAACCTTGATAAAGTCCTTGAACACTTTAAAGCATAAAGACCGGACGGTAGATAAAACACGACGATAGCGCAACAGAAAAGGAAAGAAAGAAAAAGTGATAAAAATGTGTCAGATCGATTGATTGGAAGATATGAATAAACCGCGACAGATAGCGAAAAAGGAATGCAAAAAAGAAAAAATGAATTCGAACAAAGAATGAATAAGAATGAAACAAAAAAAAAAAAAAAAAAAAAAAAAAGAATAATCTAAACAAATAGGAATCAAAACGAATCTTATAGACCGCGAAAGAATGAAAGTAAGAAAAGCAAAAAATTATTTATTTAAAAAAGAATCTGTCCGGTATTGATACAAACAAAATAATTTAAAATTGTTTTCTTTAAGAAAGATGAAAAAAAAAAAAGACTTAAGAAGAAGGGTAACTTGCGATTTCATGTCATGTTAGAGATTCGGGTATATCTTGGCATCTGTACGGAATATTCATTATATTTCATTAGAATTATTTTTTTTTAATGTTCAATAATTAAGAGTAAAATAGAACCATGGAAAATATTCAAATATTTTAAAAAATGAATTTTTAAAAATATTTGAATATATTCCATTTTACCCCAAGAAATGCAATAAAGCAACTAAGACGCAAGGAGTTATTGAGTGTTAGAGAATATGAGAGAAGAAAACATTATTAAGGAGAGAGAACAATAAATGAGCAGCAATTAAGAAGATAACGATTGACATTGCATTTAAACATTTGAATATCAAAATTGACTGGGGAGCAAGGAACCGGAAGAGAGTTCCACAAACGAGAAGAGCAATAGAAGAAACTGTTAGCATAGAACTTACGGTTACATCTAGCCATTTCAACTGTAAAATGATGAGACCTAGCTACGAATATAGTACTACACTTAAATTCATACAGTCTAGGTAACAAAGAGTAAAGGTCATCAGCACAATTACCATAAAAATATGTATTGAAAAAGTTCAGGAAACTATATTACGACGGTAGGAAAGTGACTCACGCCGGAATGTCAGGTCATGACAAATAATATTGCAGATTCGATAGATTCAGTAAGTTTTGGATACTCTCCCTACTATTATGACGTCACCTCCTAACGCTTATTTGTTAGAGTGCCAAGTGTATAAAGGGAAGAGTACATTCAAGTCCGCTGTTTGAACCTTGAACCTTAAGTCTTGATTTTGTACGAAGAAGCATTTATAGCTGAGCCTTGTGCTGGAAGCAGAGGTCGAAGCCAATGAAGAAAAAGAGTAAGTGGAATGACACAATTGAAGAAGAAGAGTGACTGTTGCAACACACAGTGAGTTGATATTCTCTTTCAAGTAAGGAGAAAATAATAAAGAAAACAACAGAAAGAACAAGAGGGGTGGGGATTCTAAACTTCCCTCACCCACAATCTATATTTCAGATATTTCAAAACTGAGGAGATCAAAGGAGCAGATATATTTCAGAACGTATCAAAATATGCAGAACCGAATGTGGCAAATACAAAACGAATTCGGACAGAATAAGGAATAGAGATGGTGGTGGTGGTGGGCTTCTACATCAATAATGTAAGTGAAAATCGAGTTAATCCCGTGAATATTGATGGATTTGCAGATTAAGGAAGGATTGCATAATTTAGCAAGTAGATAGATATTTACAAATTGAGATCGATCGATTACGTAGATTAAAGCATATGGATACATCTGATCAATGATGAAATTAAATAAAACTATTAATAAATCTGAACAGTAAAAAAAAATTAATATAGATAGATTTAAACAGAAAATAATAAATTGACGGGCATGCCTGACCAAAGATTGATATGAACAGATAGACAGACATGAACAGAGATAGGTAAAGAGGTATAGACACAAATAGATGGAATGCCATCAACTTGATTGAGAGAGAGAGAGAGAGAGAGAGAGATGTATGAATTGAGATAGATAACTATGAAAATAGATAAATATGCAGTTGCGAACAAATAGATAAATAATATATATTTTTATATATTCAAGCGAATACGAATGTTTAATTTTTTTAATGTATTTATCCAATTTAAAATAAGTTGTTGCACAACCAAATAAAAATTCTTGCTTTTTAAATAACATACATGCACGCACTCTCACGGTGGAGTAATGGATTGAGGAATCGCAGAGCCCAGTTCGAATTCCAGTCGAATCCATTACATTCACTTACGTGCTAATACCCTTGGGAAAGGTATGAATTCTCCTCTTCTTCTCCCTCCATCTATGGGGAAAATAGCAGGACAGACTGGGTTCTATAGCCTTGGATGGCAACTGGTCTAGGAGAAGGAAAAACTCTGAATTCAAAACCTGCGGAGGGTCGTTTGGGAACCTGGTGGCACTCGGTGCACCAGGTCTCTGTATTCGTCCCTTCAAAAAGTGTGGATGGTCCTGCACGAAGCCTTCACCACTATAAACAAATCTCATGTGCCGGTGTCGGGCTGTCGGTTTACTGGGAACTGATCTGCTTGACCCTCATACGTCGAATTCGACGGGAGAGTCGACTACTATATATATATATAATATATGGGTGAATATCATATATAATTTTTTATATATCAGAAGTAATTTAAAAAGAATTAATGACAACGTGGATACATATGATTAATTATAAGCAACCTTTGTATTTTTTTTATTGCCGTTCCTCCTCATACGCATATATAATGACATTGGCAAAAATGTTACATTAGTTTGATGTAGTCCTATAAGACGAAGCGCTTCACAAAATAGATATGAACCGGCCAAGGATAAATGGATATATATATATATATATATATATATATATATATATATATATATATATATTAAAGACATTTTTTTATGTTTAACGTTGTTATCTTATAGATACAAGTATTTAAGCAAATGCTCTGTTTAAGATGCGTAACATTTACCGGCCTGAATGTCCGAGAAATTTTCATAGAAAATATTCGTTCATAGACAGGATTTGAACCTGCATCCTATACGGAACTGTCATATACGCTGAATATAACGTTAAACATAAATAAAATGTCTTTAATAAGTAAATTGTCGGACCTTGTCCATTTCTTAACATATGACGTCATTTGTTTACATTCGATACGCCAGAGCAGTTATGAATGTACGAGATTCGTGGAAGATTGTAGTTTATAACAGTAAATTAGATAAGGTTCATGGTGGCCGAGTGGTTAAGGCAAGCGTAAACAGGTATAGGATGCAGGTTCGAATCCTGTCTATGAACGAATATTTTCTAATTCAGGCCAGTAAATGTTATTTAATACTGTTTATCTTAAACAGAGCATTTGCTTAAATACTTGTATTTAAGATAACAACGTTAAACATAAATAAAAATGTCTTTAATAAGTAAATTGTCGGACCTTGTCCAAATATATATATATATATATATGTATGTATGTGTGCGTGCGTGCGTGTGGAAATAGATATGAATATAGATAAACAGACAGATATGAACAGACGGGGATAGATAGATAGGAAAAAACGGAGGATAGATAGATGGATAAACAGACTGATCGATATCGTTTTATGTAGACATAAACAGAGATTTACCGAAAAAAATTATATATATATATATATATATATATAGAGAGAGATCGCTGGAAAGAAAGACCAGAAATAAATGTATATTTGAATAGACTAAAATCGTTAAACCTGAAAAGACGAAAAACGGTAGAGAGAGGGGGGTAGAGAGAGATCCAGAAAAGGAATTCTAGGAAGTGCCATAACGTTTACAAAGCTGCATTCCAAACAGATTCCCCTCCCCTGACTCGACCCCCAGGAGATTTCATTTTATTAATATCGGGTCGGTCGCCGTTGAGTGAAAAGAATAAATATACATTGTCATAATGCAGAATACCGATACTTACATTATTGTTGATAAGTAAAATGACTCACCGATAAAAATAACGAGACTGTAAAAACAAGTGAAACAAAATTTCCAACGATGGCACAGACAGTAAGAAAAACAGGAAATCAACAACCAAAGAGCCGACAAAACAAAACCTCGTTAATATTGGAGAGAGTGAAATATTGAGCAAATATCAGAAGCTCTCTAGACAGGGATTTTCTTTCATTACAGTGAATCATCACAATATTTAGACACGAATGGGTAGGAAAAGGAGATTCAGTAAGAACTGTGCAAACAACTTTATCTATAATTACACAAATAGTCTAAGCCCAAACGCGACGAAAAGCGCATATTGGGGGACAGAAAAAGGAGATAGACACGTTTCGTTAGGTTATATTATAGAAATCA